TCCCCTACAACATACCTAATTGGCGAGGAAATCGGTGAGATGTGACCTATTCTGCATATTTACCCCGGCCATATTTCTTGGCACGTTGTGCTCGGCGGTGCCACCGTGCGTGATGACTTTGACCGGTCACGCATGTGTCTCATGGTGAAAACACACATGGCATTGACTTCGCCTTTATGAACCGTTGTTCGAATGCGAAACCACCGACGAATGCGTGACTTGCTTGTGCGTGAACGAGGAGTATTGAGCACGTGTACGAGGCTTCACCTACTATTCGAGTGACAGTCCGTTCCTAACATTTGTGCCGCGCACACGTCAGAGCGCGAACCACCTCTTTATGGCAGAGAGTGCGATTTACACACGCACGCTCAGGTCGGTGTGCACGCTGGACATATATAAACCGGGGTCGTGCGTCGATTTGAAACTCGGCAGCGTATGAATAACCCTGATGGAAAAATTTTGCTGAAAACGTAATGAAATTTGCTGAAATTTAGTTGAAAATTTCTTGCAATTGACCCAATTTCATTATCATTTCAGCAATTTTACATTAAAAAATTTATTTTCAGTGAAATTCTGCAAATTTCATAATATACAACATTTCAAAATTTTTTCACGAATTTTTAGTAATATTAATTAACTTTCATCTAATTTCACAGTATTTCATTGAATTTCATAACGAAACTTATGATTTAATACTTTGATATTATCAGGGATACCCTGATGGAAAAATTTTGCTGAAAATGTAATGAAATTGATGAAAAGTGAAATGAAAGTTATTGGAAACTTGTTGAAACCATTTCAAAATAAATCATGTCACGTCCAGCGCACATTTTTCGCTGACGTGGCTAGTAACGATAGTAATTGCCCACCCGATAGGTATCACCGGCGCGGCGCGGCTACTGGCACGCGCGCAACACGTGATTAGCAGATATTCGCTCTCCTTCTTTTCCACGTTTAAAGATAGAATATAGCGATTAATTGACGATAGCCGAGGCAGCCACTATAACAGACGAATCCTTGGCGCCTCCGCTTTCGTCCCAAATTAATAAAACCTTAATACTAACGAACAATAAGCTCACATCGACGATTTCCGTGGAAGGAGTAAACTCCACGGGAACCGTCGATCACAGCCGCGTGCGAGGGCGCTGTGCGCCTCCACCGGTAGCCACGATGGCAATCAGGACCAGTAAAAATCGCTGTAAATAAGGGAAATATACCATTTATAGAAATTTCAGCAAAGCTTCTAGAAGGTTCGATGCCTACGTGACTCGACGCGATATAGCGGAACTCTAGGGAGAAAAACAAGGGATCGGTATGCGGATTAATTAATCGGCGGCGCGCGGCAAATTTAAAGTTTGAAAAACGACATAAGGATGAACGGAGGCCCTTTGCCAAGGTGACCAGAGCTCAAATTGTTTAGAGCACCGGAAGGTGCCATAATTAGCACTTTAAAGGAAAATTCCGAAGGGCCCCCGCTCATCACCACTTCCGCACTTGCCCTTCAACCTAACAGTATATAAGCGGGCCGTCGGAGCCCCGAATTCGTAGTACGTTTTCCAACGTTCAGCAGGCCGAAGCTCTGCCCGAGAGACAAGCCTCAGAGATAGGAAATAAGTACGAACGGCAAAGCTCTGCCCGACTATACACCGGCATTATTCTCTGCCTGTAAAAGAGAGACGGAGTAAGTGAGAGTGCGATAATCGGAGTGAAAGTAAGTGGATTAGTACAGTGATACCTAACCATCATTTATTATCCTGCCCCGTCGAGGTAATAATTAATTACTGTCCGCGGAATACCTTGTTGTCCGGTAGTGATACTCTGCCCCCGCCTCCTTCGGCGACGAAAACTGTGATACCTCCACCTTTTGGTTGCGCGCTCTCCACAGGGCGTTCTTCCGATCTTGCATCCACCTCTCGGATGCGCGCTCGCTGCCGGGCGTTCTTCCAATCCGTCTACCACCTTGGATGCGCGCTCTCCACAGGGCGTTCTTCCGATCTTGCCTCCACCTCTCGGATGCGCGCTCGCTGCCGGGCGTTCTTCCAATCCGTCTACCACCTTGGATGCGCGCTCTCCACAGGGCGTTCTTCCGATCTTGCCTCCACCTCTCGGATGCGCACTCGCTGCCGGGCGTTCTTCCAATCCGTCTGCCTCCTTGGATGCGCGCTCTCCGCAGGGCGTTCTTCTGAGCTTCCTCCACCTTCGAATGCGCGCTCTTGCACAGGGCGTTCTTCGTTGGAACCGATTCACCAGCCCGGCATTAAGCACCCGGGTCCTATCTGAATCACGTACATCCTCGCCCCTTCTTCTCTTTCCTGACGCCTCGTGCCTTCTGTTTTGCTGTTTCTTTTTCGCCGTCGTCTCCGTTCCCCGAGTCAGACCCCACAAAAGAAAAGGGGGACTCATCCAGACAATCATGACAATTTTTCCATCTCTCATTGCTACCGGCAATTTAACAGGGTCCCCTCGCCGTTAGGGAAACCTCGAATGGGCACCTGGCACACGGGGAAACAAACGAACTAAATAATGTTGTTGCAGATGCGCACTGTGGTTGTTCGAAACGAATTTTGAGCCAGTAAAGCATGCAAATAAGTGCATACTCGGGCCATGACAGCCCGGCATATTAAGCCAATTGTCAAGTTCCTTTTCTTTTCTTTTCTTATAAGGTCCGTAATAGCGGACAGGGACGATTTTGTTCCCCAGTAATATTTCGTTTTCTTTTTCATCTTTCCTCCTTTCTTTCTTTAGTTATTATTAATTTTGTATCCGTGTTTTCGCGGTTGCTATAAGGTAATTAAAGTGGATATAGCGTTGCAATGGAGTACGATGATGATAGCGACGCAACTGAATCCCAGTGATTAATGGCACGCTACTGAGTACTCCCACAGAAACCAATGCTTTCCACCCACGGGTAAAGCAAACGGGAGGAGGAACACTACGCAATTCCGTGTGTGCCAGAGCAGGACACCGTTACCTCCCCTCCCCACTAATTAACTTGTGCGATTAACAACTTAACCATGAGTGCCTTCCGCAGGAAGCCCGATCATGGGCCGGTCTCGCCGCTCGGGGCGGCAGCGCCAATTAAGGCGCCTGGTCAAAGCACACCACCAGGTGCGGGTGTTTGACCCGCGGGTATTCGAGGTGTACCCCCGTACCGCTTCTGTACCCGAACCCCGGGAGAAACACCACCCGCCACCTCCTCCTCAGCAACCTCAGCCTCCTCCGCCTCAGAAGCTTCCTCCCCCGTACCCTCAGCCTCCTCTTCCTCAGAAGCTTCCTCCCCCGTACCGTCAGCCTCCTCAGAAGTTTCCTCCCCCACGTATTGAGAACCTCCAAGCACCTCCTGTCCGCCCACCCCCGCCTACCTCCGGCGAGCACTGCCCTCAGCGGGTGTGGAGG